GGTTGAAATTTCACTAAAAATTTATAAAAACATTATTCATAACTATTCATCAAATTTATCTAAAAGAAAATCTAATAATATTAACTAATATCTAATGAACTAACTAATAACAATATTCAACGGTTTAAATTTCAGAAAATAAAATAAAATATACATAAAATATATAAATAATAATAATACTACTTAAATTTTACTTACCACTGCTTGATCTACTAGATTGCAACAAGAAAAATGTGTTAAACTACTTCAAATGGAAGAATGGAGGAAAGGGGAGCAAGAGCAACTCGGGACAAAGAGGAAAATGAAAATGAAAGGAGAAAGACCAAAATGAAAGCAGAAGGGCAGATCGGCAGGGCATAGGGAAGCTTACCGACGAAACCCACATTGCTACAGTCTAAAGCTGCTCATCTCTGCGTTGCATCAGGATTCCTGTTGATTGGACAATCACTGACGAGCATCAAGTTGGAACTACACATGTTACCGACCTATATCTATTCGGTAAACAAAGTAAAAGCTGCACTGCCAGTGGCCACCAGCCAGATTCGCGGGGAGTTGCTGAAGGGCAAGTTACCGACAAGCACTATGTCGGAAATGTTATCAAAAAGCTGCACCCCTGACGCAGGCAGCCAGCTGGTTGGCGGAGGGGGGTGCATTGGGAGTGGAAATTACCGAGGAGATGGACGTTGGAAATTGATCCTCAATTACCGACGAGACTCTCGTTTCAAATTAATTTACAGGCATACTTCTTGTTGGTAATATGCCTTTCCTCCTTCCCCATGCCGGCCGGAGTTTTGGTTACAATTACCGACAAGAAACACGTATGTATTCTGTTAAATTACCAACGAGTTTTACGTCTATACAATAAATAATATATCTTACTGCCATTTCTACTATTGCTCAAGTGACAGACGTATATCTTGTCAGTAAATGGATGCTTCACCGAGAAACCTTCTTACCTCGGTGATATGTGGTCGGTGAAGCTTGGTTTTCTTGTATAAAATGTTTCATGTGATATTGAAAGTTTATTTTTATTATTTTTTGTATAAATTTAATAGTAAAAGAATTTTTTTAACTTATACCATTAGAACACAAATTAAAAGTACAATTATTACACTTTTTTATATAAATTAGTA